ATTATAGACCTCCAGTACAGTCACAGTAATCCACCTGGAGATGGAAGTCGGGGAAGCCGGCTTATCCTGTTTGCCAGGGCCGTAACACAAAAACATGTGTTTGGTTCCCCGTCTGGAAAACCTGGTACGGTTCTCGTAGCAACTCAGCGCTCGGACCGGGCAGAGAAGCAATTCCTCCTGATCCTCCGGACCGACAATATTTGACAGCCGGGAGATGACGATCGGTTGAGGATCGTGTCCTGGGATTTGGTTCTTGGCGAGAAACCAGATTCGTGTCTTTAGTACAACTTGATCGTCCATGAAGGTGGCACAACCGTCCGCGAAGGACAGTGCGCCTAGCTCTGACCGGCGCCTACCTGAGGCGAGGGCCAGTAGGAAGACTGTTTTCCACGTCAAAAACTTGAGTGGTGCTGAAAGGAGAGGCTCAAAGGGAGGTCTGCTTAGGGCTGATAAAACAACCGACAGGTCCCAATTGGGCGGTTCCTTTGAACGGACCCTGGGCCTCTGATTATGGAAAGCAGTAAACAGTCTCCTAATAATGGGACAATCGGCTAAACTTGACTCCAAAGAGTTTTCTATGGCAGGGGACAAGGCTGACCTGTAGCCAACGATTGCAATTTGCCCTGACAGACCTTCGACCAATGTCCTCATTTCAGCGGCAAAACCGGCGCCGTGCGAGGATGGGTCCACAACGAGACCCAGCGCGGGCCCCATAGGAGGAAAGACCTCCAGGGGCACAGCCTCGCTGTGGTAAAGTTGGAAAACCCACTGTCTGAAAAAACAGACTGTATAGATGCCCTCCGATCAGCGGGGGGAGACGGAAAAAAATCGACACCCCCACTATCGGGCCCTTTGCTTGGTATCCCGGTATGAGAACCGGTAGCCGAGCGCGAGGACTTGTCATTCATGCCAACGCACAACTCACTCATACCCATGCCGGTAGCACTTGCCGCGCGACCTTTTCGCGAACGAGCATTGCGGTCAGTCTCGGCTATTTTGACATGCTGCTGGAACGATTCCCAGGCTTCCAAACCCCAGCGATTACACATATTCTCTGGGCAGATACCCGAACCCTGAACGCACATGAAACAATGATAACACTTTGAATGCGGGTTCCATTCCTGCAATTGCTGAGTACAGACAAAGGCGGTGAGCCTCTGGCGTTGCCAGTGCAACTGTCCATTTCTAAATACATTAAAAATAAAGGATGACATGCATGAGAGAAACGAATTACAGTTGTAAAAGGTGCCGCCATGAAATCAACATGTGGTTACCGTATACGTGGTGGCGCCGGGTTTGATTTCTTTGTTGTGGAAAAGCATAACACACAAAGGGGAAAACGACACGAGGGGAAAACGACACGAGGGTAAAAAGACAAGAAAAACTTATCCTACCAGCTAGAATGTCGGATGCCGCGGCTGCGGCGACGACCCACGCTAGAAACCCCGACAGGAAAAAGCAACAGAGCCAGGCACAGCCGCTCAGAATCATTCCCCGACGAGGCAGAGAGAATTGAAGAGTGATGGACGGCTACCTATGGTGTTGCCATGTGGCCTCGGTCACGTGGGTTCGTGACGTAAGGGGTAAAAGAATCTTGAGGTCATGGGGCTTCCCATTCTATCTCTCCGTCACCGGCAGAATCGCTGATTAATGCCTACAGTTCAAAATAGTCATTTTGACTGACCGGAGTCTATGGTGGGTAATTGAACGTAGTGAATTGAGTGTTCACAAGGTTTGTATAGCTCGGCTTAATGCTATGAATGCAAAACCAAAGCTTTCATCATTCTATGTCACAGTACGGCTTCATCAGAGTACATCTCACCTTTGTAGAACATCAACACCTCCCATATACTGCATCAATTTCATAGCGTTTTCTTTACCAACTCCGGGAACTCCTTTGGGTACGTAATCACAGCCTAGTAACAATGCTAGGGCCACAAGTTTATTTTGATTCAAGTTAAGACTCTTCTCGATATCATCCATGGAGTAGCAATCAACACTTGGATCCTTACAAAAATACAGAAAATTTAAACTTATGCAGTGTTCCGCTGTATATACCAGTATTCCATCAATCATCAATGTGTACAATGCTAGTAATATCTCATTACCCATTCAGATTTATGCAAACTATACCAGTATTCCATCAATGTGTACAATGCTAGTAATATCTCATTACCCATTCAGATTTATGCAAACATAACCCACTATATGATGTCATAGACAACTAAGTGACATGCCACTGAATTAACAAACAGTTTAACTCATTTATTGAGCTTACTACCTAATGCGCGTAACATGTTCTATTGTGAAATCATTTAGTGATTCTATTTTATAGTTCATGTGCGTGTTCTTATGTTCTTATGTTCTACCTATACGTTTGATCATTTACTTCTATGCTATCGATAAAGAGCAATTGCTCGAAAAGTCTAGCTATTTTTAATATTTACTTAGGACTACAATTACCAAATATTATCTACTATATATCACTATGTGCCTGGGTACAATGCTTGTAGTATCTCATTGCCTATTCAGATTTCTGCAAACATAGCTCACTATAGGATGTCATAAACATTCTAGGGTCTTAGAAAGTCACAATGACCAACAGGCAAAGGCAATTTTGGGTTTATATTCACTTGTATTGGAGATGTGATACAATAACTACATGCAACCCTAACAAAACTTCATTTACAAAAGAAAATGTTTTCGGCTACACAAATAGCAGTGATTGTATTGACAAATGTTATATGTACCTTGGTGTTGATTGTGAAATTTCGGTAGACAGTACGTGCACCATAAAGAAAAGCATCACCATCTTGTGTAATACAGGCATCTGCCACCTAAAATAAAATTGTAGATGTCAGTAGGTAAACGAAACAGGATAAGTTAATGCAGGTTTGAATTTCGATAACATTTAAACTACCGTTACATGTATATTAACAATGGCAATAAGGGATTTTTACTGTAATCAGATTATTGATTTTTACTGACAATCTCCACACTGCTATCATCAACAAAAACGTGAGAAAACTGATGTACTAGTACTTGTATACATACCCCTTCAGCATTTAATAACGCACACATGGCTTCAGCTTCACCAGCACTTTGAAGATATGGAATACCAAGATAGTCCAACATGGTACAACACTGACAAATAAATACGTACACCAGTAAAATTAATTCCAACATTATACAGTAGTATTTGTGCATATTGTAAAATTGTTGGCATTCACAATCAAGAAAGCTGTGTGCTGAGAGAATATACAAATAATTCAAAATTTAAGAATAGCCTTTAAAACAAGACGAAGACAAGACCCGGCAACTAATATTTGTCTGCTATTTGACATGCACAACATTTGTATTTATTTATTTACACCAGATAATATAAATGAAATTTTACAATATAAAATTATGTTATTCATACATAAAGAGATACAAATGTAGGTAGCAAATTTTCTAGACTACATGTAGCTCCTCAGAGCTATTTCTGTGACAGAGAACCATGAGAACAATGTGATCCACATTATTGAAGTTTATAATACTAACAAAAAATTAATTTGATTTTACATATGTGGTTTGCAGTCTGATTTATTCAAGAACACCTCTACCACAAAATCTGATTTTTTGAGATAAAATATCTAATAATAAATATCAACTAATCAGGTCTTTAGCATTGTCTCAAATCACTATTACGGTATATCAAGTCCTTAAAAGGGAACCGCTCAATCCCATGGATTGCACCACTTGTTCATGGGTAATTAACTCCACCTCTGGCCACTAAGTAAATGAATGCTTATTATGCTTGCTTACTCAGACTGTGATTGACAGGCATTTTGCATACATTAGCCGCCATTTTAAACTCATGATTTTTACATGTCACGGAACGTTTCGACTGAAAACAACAACATTTATACATCAAAAGCCCAACCAGATGAGTGTAATCGCTAAAGTACTTATTCATGCCCCCGTAAAAATGCATTTGAAATCACAGCTTCATCTCTAAACATCACAAATGGCAAATTTCACGGAGCTCCCGCCACTATGTGAGCATACTAATTAGTAATACGGTGGACATCTTGCCCGTACTTATAGTATCGCTTCCCCTTTGAGACGCAATAATTGTTTTTTATGCAAAGTAAGTAATTTATATGCATGGATTTCAACCCCAAACTAATGATGTCCATGCATTGACCATGGGCACCTATATACAAAGTTTCACTAGAATGTGACGATTGACTGTTAAATAATTGGTGGCAATTACATGTATTATGCAAAATGTTGTACATATGTAGTTATTATGGTTCCAAACTAATTTGGTTGTCGCATTTTGAGTATTTATGTACCAAGATTTATTGTAACAAGCAGTCTCTCGGCTAAGATAGCTCAAATCTGAGATTGGTTGACATGAGGTATCTACCGATATATGTATAATAACAAAGCCATGATCACTCTTGCATATTTAATACTAACAGCAGTGGGCACTCCCATTATATTATTTTTGGTTGTGAACGACAGTACAACGTATAGGCAATGCGAGTTGCCACTCTCTCACGGATTCATCTACGAATACATGCATGACAAGCAAAATATACCAGCACTGTCCTAAATACGACAAACCTGTAAATATGAATACTAGTAACTGCTGATTTCCAAAAAGATTGGTGATGGTAACGGCAAATGTTCATATGATTCATACATGTGTGAGGTAACATGAAATCATTATTCCTCTGTCGTTTGGACACTTGGTCATGTGATTATGTCACCTGACATGACTTATTTATAGAGCTAGTTGATGTTTGTGGTGCCATGGGCTATATCTATGCACACACCTTCCAGCGATCTCGCCAGCCCGACCACTGCCGACCAGCACGGGGAGATCCCTGACCTTATATTTATGGATAATACAGTGTCATTCATATCAACCAGCTTTACGAACAAGTGATATGGGGTGATAACCTCATAATATTGTCTAGAAATAGCTTTCTCAGAAAATTAAAATTCCAGCAGTGCAACTTACTTCATTGAGTAGACCTTTAAAGTGAGATCTGCTTGGTTTCTTGAAACCTCCTCCTCCTCCTCCTCTCCCTCTTCTATAACCACCGCCTCTGCTTCCATACCTTGCTTCAGTTCGTTTCATCATTTCTTCCCACTTCAAATCGGGAGGTTCCCCCTCAATTACAAATATTAAATCTATTCCTAGCCTTGTAAGATGTGATGCTCGGAAGAATAAATTTCTGGGTACCGTAGAAATAAACATTAAATTATAAATTCAGAGACAAAACTGAAAACGCGATTCATCAGAAAACACATTACAGTCAATGTATGCATTAAAACATGTACATCCATTAAAAATTTTCAAAACTCCAAATGCAATCATTAGTGATTTTCGATTGTTGAAAATGAGACGAAATGCAGTGACACTGACTATATCTACTTGGTGGTTGGAATTGACAAGCCAGTTAATAATTATTTTTGTAATTAATAATCCAGTATATTTTTTAGCTCACTGCCCAATTCACACAATTTGTTTGTTTATCTTGCCTAAGAAACAAAAGTTATGGATATATCATCTGTTCGCGACTCAAAATAAGCAGGCTTATCATTATCTTACATTCCCTTAACTACCCTACCAATTTTGAAACACATTGTTCTAATCAAGAAACAAATTTTGTATGACATTTAAAATGCAAAATAATTGTAAATTATTTGTAAACTGGCTTTTATTGGTATCGAAAAGCGTGAAAATAACTTTTTGAGACATTGTTATAATTTAGAATCCCATAACATAAAAATAAACAAGATTTTTTTTTAAATTATCCTAGTTGTGAATATTCTTTTATTTTTGAACAACAGCCTTGATGAAATGGAATCAACATAAAAATAAATATTTTGAAATACTGTTGTACTCGTGTTTTTTTACTTTGAATTTGATATTATGAAATACTAGTAAATACTTGAATTATGCTAATAAACTCTTGAATATTAATGAGTGACCTACACTTCAGTTTGGGGGTGTAAAGGTAAACAGATACATGTACTTAGTAAGTATTTGAAAAGGGGAAGTCATTCAAAGAAATATGTGCAAATCTTGTATTATCCCTGCAATAAAATACACAGGTCCCTGACAGATAGGCGTCAAGTTTGTTTTGATTATCAGGGATATTGCAACATTGACTATACAGAGAAAGACAAAAAGTGATTCAATTAAAATTTTCATTGCTCAGAACATTTTACAGCGGGTGCAAATATTCATAGGGGAGTTAGTAAACTCAAAATGAACACTGCAATATAGCGAAGGACTTATTGGCGCCATCAAATGACGTAATTTTATGACAATCTTACTTCCCCTGATGCCCTAGTACATATTGTTTGTCTTGATATTGGAACATTGTTGTGAAGGAAGTTTTAAATTATTCGTACGAATATTATTTACGCTGTGCCAACAACCACAATTTGTTGACGTTTACCTTCAATAAAAATATAATTATTTAGTAGACACCTGTATGTTGTATTTTCAGCTTACCTTAGATGTGGTTTCGTAACTACTCCCATCATCTGTTTGACACCTTGGTTTTCGCATATCCATACACTTAGATCGACAGCGATCGTCTGACCCCTTAGTTCGTCCAGCGACTTATGACTCTTTACCGGTGCTAAAATGGGCCACAGATCAGTAACTCCCATCGTATCTAGCTCTTGAGGAACAGTTATTTTGTCGACAATAGAGGAGCCCGGAAAACGGTCAGTGTATTCATAGACATTTCAAACTCACCGCCATGATGGGGGAAGCCCTCTATCGTAACTGTTGGTAATTTATTTACTCCAAATATTTTTTAGATCTATTTTTTCTTGCATCATGTGTGATTATCATCAGTAAATTTATATACCATAAATTCTGCAACAAATAGTCATTAAATATATTGTGAGTGAATTCCTAATCAGAATGTACTACGAACATAATGTGTGTATTCATTCTTTGAGCTCTAAACCAGCTGGCAAAATCACGTGATGTCATTGAACCAATCTTGCCCTTTGCGAGTTGTCCTTCCCGCCATTTTCAAACCCGGTGTATCTTCAGGTATTTTAGCTGATAATCTGGAGCAATATGCCACTGCTTGGACGACGAAGTCATGTTTTAGCAAGACCTTTAAAGGACAAGACATCAGAAGAGCCTATTTATGTGATCGATTTCACCAGAGAGGAATTTAGATCGCGAGAGTATCCTTGCTTTTGACCCGGTGGGGAAATCCAAGATGGCCGCCTACATCGATGGTCACTATTTTTGTTTTATTTTTACAGTAATCAGACTTTTAACGCATTTTTCTCACTTTATTTTCGGAGATCGGCTCAATATTTTCAATCCCAATGATATCGGTGATGTAATATGTGATCTTGTGTTAAAGTGAACGTGCGTCCACACAAAGGGTATTTCGAGTGAAAGCAATGCGTTTCTTGAGACATTTTCGGCGAAATTTCTTTGGTCACTTCCGTGTTTCACATTTTATTATATCCACAAGAAGCCAGTGGCGCGAATTTGGCATGGATAGTGTCCATTTTCGATGATTTTATCTCAGAAAATAGCGATCGAAGTTGGCAATATATTGGTTTTCTCCTCTATTGTTCTGCGTCATGTCCGTCATGGTTGCCATGCTGAAGCAGCTCGCTATTATGCAGTGACACCATTGCAAAACCCGATCAGCAATTTATGATATCGCAAGTGTGGATCGAGCGAGCTGCATTTATATTTGTGTTTTGACCTGTTATAACAAAATTATATCTATTGTTTTCTTTCGTTAATTATATGGATTAACGGTTTTACAAATAAGTCGGGGGTGGTGTTTACATTATACGACCACATCACGTGTGTACGGTGTAGTTCCCATATCCACACGTACATACGTTTTTTAGGATATTATTGTGTTTTTAATACTCTTCATAGTTTGGAAGCAGAATTCATTTGATCTTTTCTACCCTATGTTCTAAATTTGGTCATTATTTTATTTAAAAAAATAAAGAAAAAACTATTAATCTGACTATGGAATTATAGCTGATGTGACTGCCCATATAATAGTGTCATCCAATGGAACGTTATGATTTACAAATCTGGTATTATCATGTGACTACTATTAAATTAAGGCGTTTAAAGTATCCATTAGACATGAATTTATATTTTTTAAATTTTTATTTCAGACAGTATGTGATCGTTACATGTATTTAAAAAACACAGACCAATATTCAGAATATATGGTTATTGCAATCGTTTGATTCTTCTATAAAAACCATCTGTTGAGTGAAATCGAAATCCAGATATTCTGAAGATCACTTATTCAGTACATAAATATACATAACTGCGAAAAAGCTGTGTAATGTTTCTTTGAAGCATTTTTTGAGAAATGTTCTAGGTGAAATTAACGACCTGTGTCACGACCCCTAAATGTTTCCAGCACCTTGAAAGCACATGTCCTGGTTCTTCAGATGACTTCATGCTAATGCAAAATTCCTTTGTTTGCTTCTGTGTTTGAGAAAGTATGATACATTTTATATTTAATTGCTCCTGATTTTTAAGATGGTTTTCCAAGATGAAATCTTAAGTGGTCATGTGACGCTGGTAAAGTAAACTGCTTGTACTGCTGCTTTGCTCTCCTAAAATTATGTTTGTTTTTTTTCTGCTAATCATTGAATAGTTTTATTTAAGTATTAATCCAAGTATCACATTTCTCTGGGATGAATTTCACTTAGTAGTGTACAGTATTGTGTACTCCTCATTAGGGAGGGAAAGGGTGTAGTGCTAAAGCACTGGTCTATTCTTAGGGGTGTGGTTAATATCGTAATTAAAACAAAAACAGAACAGAAAATGATATTTCCTTGATAATATTGTGTTATTAGAGAATATAATAAGAGATTAGAACTATATCGTGATTCGGTTTGGACGTGTCAGTGCACCGGTAGAAATGAGCTCACTTACCAAGAAGCACAGCATTCTGAAAAGAAATCACGACGACAGCTGAATGAACACTTTCCATTGTATCTGGAGAAGCCAATACTTCAAATTGTACACCACAGTAAGTGACGTCATATGTTTATTTCTTTGTGTACATGTTTTGTTCACTGTTACTGTATGTATTGTATTATTTTGTGCTGTATGGGTTATGCCTCCATACAGTTAAGTGTTAAGCCTTGGCAGGGCTTCAGTTCAGTCTATAGACCATATTTACTCTATTAGAAGAGTAACTCCATTAAGTTGAGAGGCTAATTTTAGTATAATATTCTATTTTTGGGACAAATACATTATTTTGTTCTCGGAAGAAAATTTTTCAATTTTTTTTTATATCAACATGTTCATATTCAGTATATTGTAATTTTTACTGCCTATTTTGCATAAAAATGGCCTGTATTCAATTACTGATCGTTTTATTATCCCATGCTTTAACATAGATTTAATTTATTTTGACAGGAAGTCTAGATTTTAACGTCTGTGTCAGACAATATTATTACTGTTTTGTTTGCATATTGTCATAATAAATTGGCCAAAATCACTAATACATATTTTCAGGAGGAAAAAAATAAACTAATTTCGATACAGTATAATGGATATTTATGCCGTCCTCAGATACAAAAAAAATCACATTTATTTAATCCTTGCATTGGAATACAATGTTGGTGGTGTATTGTATTGTTATACCCACAGTACAAAATTTTAAGTTTCTGGTCAATTGGTTTTCAAAAAAATTGGCAAGCAAGTTGATATTATGAAATAAACAAGACTTAAATTATGCTCATGAATATTAAATAAACTCATGAATATTGATGAGTGACCTACACTTCAGTTTGGGTGGTGGGAAACCTGGTGTAAAATAAACAGATAAGTATTTGAATGGAGGAAGTCAAGTTAAAATATGCAAGTTGCATATTTTAATTTGAAAATTGTCAAAAAATTTGCACTTTTATAATATTTCCAATTTTTTTTTTCATGAGAAAGATTTTTTGTGAAAAAATTGACAAAAACCTTTAGAACCTACAAAATCTGTTTGTTTGTTTTTTCTCCAAACTGATTTGGATGATAAATGAAACATGAATATTTTGACCTGGTAAGATATATCAGAACATTCTTGATAGTAAACAGTTCATTCACTGGACTGTAAAATACAAGTGATATATCCATTAAATGATTTTAATTTTAAATCCCCCAAATTTAACTAAATGTGTTTAATTCAAGTGGTGGTAATTTATAACATAAATGATTCCCTCACAGTGTCCTATTGGATTCAGAGAAGTGTCTAGACGTATTATGCCATAGAATCGTTTACTCATCCAATATGGCGCTGTTGGGATCTATTATTGTTTACCTAGTACTTGAATAATATGTCATAGAGAGTGTGAATTGTACAGAGAAAATTATCAATTTTTTACTCCTTTTTCTCAGACACAATTCCTTTGGATAATTTAGTTGACAAATGCTACCACAATATTCATTCTGTGTATGCGGACGGGGAACCCATTGAACTAAATATAAAGATCACCGGAAAAATGTGAGTATAAGTCTGAGTATTATGGTCTATCGTGTAAATGTTAGGATGTAGATGGTATTCAGATAGGTAGTAAATCATTGTTCAAAAAAAAAAAATTCAGTCCTAGGTATTTTCATTCAATTAGCATACATGCCATAATTAGGTCATGTGATCTACCACATCAACCTGTGTTTACTCATTTGATACAACAAGTCATTTTGGCATTGTTTCTGTAATGCATGTACATAGATTAACTGTCAACAAAACGTATGGCTTATCACAATTCAATTTCTGGATCACATATCATTTTGCTCTGTGGAAGAGGCTTATGTAAACAACATAATGGTTTGTTTTGTCAACTGTAAACTGTTTAATTTTCTGCACTAAGAATTTTCATAATTAAATGAGGTCCATGAAAAAGACTCACTACTCTATCCACAAAATGAACCCGATTAATACCTTTCTGATTATATTTTTTCAAACCATTTTGATCAAGACCAATAGAACAACAAGTGGATTTGGTTCTAAATTAACAAAGCAATAATCAAAAAAAAATACATAAAAATATGTAAAAAACTATGACATAAAATGTCACTTCAGTGAAATACTGAATGCTACAAAATTTTCTGATTTTCCCTGACTCATGAAAGCGATTGAATCTGTTTACGGTACATTGGGAGTGTATATACCTCGTACAATCTCATGCATTATTACAGTGTTCTCACCAAAGGATTTTAGGGTAGTGGGAACGCTACTCTCTGATTTA